CGGCAACGTGGGGGATGAGGGATTGGTTAGGGGATGGAAGCGGCAACATGGGGGATGAGGGATTGGTTAGGGGATGGAAACAGTGGGGATTAGAAACAGGGTCACTCTCAGCTTTGCAACAATTAGGTCAGTTGTCGCAATAGCCAGAGCTGGGCCTGTGCCCATTTAACAATCTCTGTCACTGGTAAAGGCACCAAATTTACCACAGCTCAGAATTCCAACGGTGCAAAGCCAAGTTGACCAGAGTTCAAAGCCGGGGGTCAGAGGGGGATCCTCTTAAAGCGAAAGGTTTAGAGGCAGTGGAGAAAACATTTGCCATTTGGAGGGCAGTCGGGGTCTGGAATGCACTGCCCAGGGGAGGGTTGCGGGCGGGTAGGAGGGAACCTCACACAGACTTTTTTTTTTAAAAAATAGTAGCCGGACAAGCCTCCCAAGGCTGTGGGGGTGGGGGGAGCAGGAGAGGAGGTGGACGACAGTGCGCCGCAGACGGTACAGGACTGCACACCTCTGATGATTCTCAATTTCTGGGCTTCCTCCTCGGTGCAGGCCCCTTCGCGATCCGACATGCGAAAGCCAAGAGACCACCTGTCCCCGCCCCACCCCACCACCACACCAGCTAACCACAGGTTTCCCTCAAAACTCCCAATAGACATGGGGCCCCAGACCATCCAAACATCCCCTCCAGGCCCCACCCCCCGACCCATCACGTCTCTCTCTGCCATCAGCACCCACCCCATCCTCCTCAAACATACCAGGAATTGGCCATGTGAATCCACGGGGGTTGGGGGAGGGGGAGGAGGGGGTGGTTAGGGTGAATTTATGGGGTCTTGGGGAGGGTTGCTCCCTGTTACCGGACGGGTGATTACAGGAATGAGGTGGGGGAGCATCAGCATGAGAAGATGTGAGGGGTTGAGACCAGAGGAACGAGCCGCAGAGGAGAGGCTGGGGAGGGTTTGGTGGTGGTGGGGAGGGGGGGGTGGGGGGGGGGGGGGTGGGGAGCGGATGTCAGTTAATTGCAGGAAGAGAGAGTGTGAGGGGGCTAATACCATGGCAGCTCTCAATAGGAGACTAGATCAATATTCAACATTGAGGAACACATGTGGGGAGAGAGCGGGGGCAGCGGGATTAGTTTGAGGATAGATACAGGGCTGTGGGGTGAAAGAGTGGGGCAGTGGGATTAGTTTGGAGATCGATACGGGGCTGTGGGGAGAGCGTGTGCTGGGAAATGTGTTTTGGGCAGGCAAGTCCAAAACTAGAGGTTTAAGGTGAGAGGGGGAAAAGAAAGATTTAAAAGGGACCTGAGGGGGCAACTTTTTCACACAGAGGGTGGTGCGTGTGTGGAATGAGCTGCCAGCGGAAGTGGGTGGAGGCTGGTACAGTTACAACATTTAAAAGGCACCTGGATAGGGACGTGGATAGGAAGGGTTTAGGGGGATATGGGGCAGATTGGGATGTCTGGTCGGCATGAAGGAGTTGGACTGAAGGATCTGTCTCCATGCTGTACAGCTCTAAAAGGAACACAGCCACACAGCGCACTCACCCTTACCTGGGCTGGCTGGACAGTTCAGCTCAGAGCTTCTCTTCCCAAAGGACAGAACTCCGGGACATACCAACATGACGATCCCACACAGCATCTTGTGAGCATCAGTCAGCGCTGACTCTGGGCTCCTCCATCCTGCACAGAGAGAGACAGTGAGGGAGAGACTGACAGAGAGAGAAAAAGAGAGAGGGGGGGGGAGCGAGAGAGAGAGGGGGCGAGAGAGCTGCAGGGTGACAGCGGCCTAGATGACCCCCCACCCCCCCCAGAACCTACTCACCATGCTGCTGGAGGCGGCGGCGCAGGGAGGCAGGCAGAGCAGATGGTGGCAGGCTCAGGTACGCAGCTACCAGCTGCTGGACCTTGGCTTTGAGCAGGTACCAGGCCTTGGATGATTTGTGAAGGGACGGGCAGGTCAGGACCTCGAGGAGGGGGGTCAGGCCTTCAGGAACCTGCGATTGGAGACGGTCACACAGACATTAACAGTGAGCATGACGTTGTCCTGGGGAGCTGCAGCCATGTTAACGCGAGCCCTGGCTATTCAACAAAAGTCTGCAGAAACTCAAATTCTAACACCAACCCCCGCCAACCACCTTTTGGCTCAAAGCACCCTACAGGGCACAAATACAACACCCCACAAAAACACACTAAACACATGATGCGGACCATTTCAATTCACACCAAACACTGACACCTATTTTGCATCTCAGCCACTCCTTTATCACGGTTCTCAACCTCTTCATCTTTCAACTCTGGTCACCCCGCACCGTCTATATAAAGCGCCCCCTTCCAGCTCCTCAGTCCTGAAAGAAAACTCACACTCGACTCAAACTCTAACCTCTGTCCTCCCTCCCTCCCTCTCTCTCTCCCCCCTCAGAGACTACAAGACCTGCCAAGTTCCTCCAGCACTTTCGGCTTTTGTCGCAGAGTTCCGGCACCTGCAGCCTTTTGGCTTCGGGGACACTTCCCCCGGTCTCTGTGTCCCCTCCCCACCACTGACCAGCAACTCCCCCTCGCCCCGAGACCCCACCTGGACCTGTGCCTGGTACCCACCTGGGATGTGGCCAACAGCAGTTGGCTGCGAAGGAGGGTGCAGGTCGTCTTTGCCAGGAGGTGGTGGTCACCTTTACCAGAGTTATCCTCCTTCAGTAAGAGCTCCGCCCGGGCCAGGCAGGTCTAACAGGGCGGGGGGGAGCACAAGAGCGAGAAAGAGACGAGGGTGGAGAGCATGCAGGAGTCGGGAAGAGGCAAAGAAAGGGGTGGAGACAGTGCGATAGAGACACAGAGGCAGGGAGAAGCGGAGAGGGGTGTTGGGAGGTTTGCAGAAAGAGAGGACGGAAGGGGAGAGAGAGAGAGAAAAAAAAAGTACCATCAGAACATCACCAGCACGTAATCAGCTCAGCGCGGACACCTTGGGATGGGGTTGCACACGGGAGACCGAATGTGCAAGGGGGGAGGGAGACACAGTGACAGCGTGTGTCAAAGTGCGGAGGGAGAAGAAGGATGAGAGCGCGTGCGAGCAAGTCGGTGCAGGAAGGGAGAACTTGCTCCGCCAGTTGGTGCCCCCCTACCCACCTGCACCTCGTCCAGACAATCGACCGACAAGAGTGTCTCCCCGAGCTGGAGCAGTACGTTAGCGAGGGGCAGCGAGTCTGTGCAAGGGTCCAACAAACGCAGCATCAACCCGTAACTCTCAATGACCTGGAACGGCTACAGGAGCCGGGGTGGGGAACAGACGAAGCGTGCGTTAGTGAGGCTGCAGCCATTGCCACCTACCTCCCGCCTGTCCACGCCAAACGCCCCCCCCCCCCCCCACCCCCCCCCCCCCCACCAAAAAAAACAAAACCCTGATCACCACCAGCATCCCTCACGCCTTCCTGGCTTTTTGTGAAATGCACAGCTGACGTGCATTCTGCTATTAACACCTAGTCCGGACTACTCACTCTCTCCTCTCCATGACCACGGCCACTCCTTTTGCTGGCTGTCGTACAGCTCTCAGCTCCCGCTCACCACCGTCGCTGACCCCTCCACCCCGGGGGGGTGGGGGGGGGGGGGGAAAGGGGGTATTTAGAAAAAAAAAAAAACACCCTTCACTTCCTGCACACCCCCTCCAGTTCTGAAGCGGCCATTTGATCCCAGTCTGTCGTTTGACGTGATCTCAGCTGATCCTCTACCTCAACACCACACACTCCAAATCCCTCGAAACCTTCAGCATCTTTTTAAAAAAATCAACACGCCAGTCTCTGTGTCCCAGCCTCCTGTGGTGAGGAGCTCCACAGTTTCACCATCTTCGTCTGAGCGAAAGAATGCTCCCTCCATCTCAGTCCCAAGTGGCCCACCCGTGTGTCTCCTTTCGTGACCCAGCAAGGAGGATTGCGGGTCTGCTGGGGGGGGGGGGGGTTTGTTAAGAGATTTCCGCTCAGGAACCTTTTCAAAAACAAAAAACACTAGAGTGAAACACGCACAGCTGTGGAGGGGGTGAACGATTTTCTCTCAGTCCTCCTTTGAGCAGTCCTGCGCAACTCTTGGAACAGGAATAGACCAGTGCCCCCAAGCAGGAACAGACAGAGAGAGAGAGCTGGGTTTGCCTGCGAGTCGAGTTAGTCCCAGACCAGAGGTGTTGGGATAAAGCCCTGAAGAGGTTACCTGAAGCCAAGCCAAGTACATTGGAGCACAGGTGTAGAATAGAACATAGAACAGTACAGCACAGTACAGGCCCTTCAGCCCACGATGTTGTGCCGACCTATTATCCTAAGATCAAACTGCCCTGCATACCCTACATTTTACTATCCTCCATGTGCCTATCCAAGAGTCGCTTAAAAGTCTCTGAAGTATCTGTCTCCATACCACTGCCAGCTGCGCATTCCATACTCCCACCACACTCTGTGAAAAACCTACCTCCGACATCTCCCCTATACCTTCTTCCAATCACCTTAAAATTATGCTCCCTTGTAATAGTCATTTCCGGCCTGGGGGAAAGTCTCTGGTTATCCACTATCTATGCCTCTCATCATCTTGTAAACATCCAGGATAGCTTCAGAATAAAGCTATCCAGTCTGTACGTTTAATAAGTTAGACCTACCAAGGCGTTAAGATACAGGGGCTCCAATGTGAGTGTTATCTGAGTGGTGTATGTGGCACTGTACCTGGTGTGTTTGTTTTTTTTGAGTATTATGCGAAAGCTGTTCTGGAGTACCTTTTCAATTTATAACAGAGAATTTTATATTAACAGGATTATGCTCTTTGCTGTGCGACTAAAAATGTTTGAAAGCATCTTGCAAGTAGATGGTTTGATCTATTTCAAATTTTGTTAGCAATCTTCTGTTCTATTGCTAAAAACAAAACCCACTGAACCGAAGGATGATTTTATTTAAATCCTGGGAAGAGACCACAGCGTTAAAACCAAAAATATTATCCATCAAGCCAGGGAGATTTGTGACTGGGATCTGATTCATAAACACTAACACAGACCAATCCATCAGGGAGGGCGTTCCAGGATACAGTCGGAGTACTACAGCACAGAAACAGACCCTTCGGCCCATCCAGTCCGTGCTGTCCCAAACTAAACCAGTCCCACACCCGCCTGCTCCTGGCCCATATCCCTCCAAACCTTTCCCTGTCCATGTCCTTATCCCAATGTCCTTTTAAATGCTGTAACTGTACCCACACCCACCGCTTCCTCAGGAAGCTCATTCCACACACGGACCACACTCTGTGTGAAAATATTTACCCCTCGTGTCTTTTTTTAAAATCTTTCTCCTCTCTTAAAATGTGTCCCCCAGTCTTGAAATCACCCCATCCGGGAGGGTAAAGACACCCATCGTTAACCCTATCTATGTCCCCCATGATTTTATAAACCTCTATAAGGTCACCCCCTCTATGCTCCAGTGAATAAAGCCCCAGCCTCTCCCCAAACCCTCTGCACCCGGCAACATCCTGGTAAATCTCTCCTGAACCCTCTCCAGTTTAATAATATCCTTCCTATAACTGGGGGGTGGGGAGCGACCAGAACTGGACACAGTTGCTCCAGAAGAGACCTCACCAATGTCCGTGTACAAACTCAACGTGACGACACCAGCTCCTATGCTCAATGGAATGGCTGATAACAGTATTGTCCGCCTTCCCCGACCGTCTCCCACCCCCCCAGCAGACCCCCATTACCTTGTCCATCAGCCTGTAGAGGGCGGCCATGAGGAGGACAGCGTGGGCCGTCTGCTCGGCGCTCCGCAGGGCAGGGGAACGAGACTCAGACAGGAGGCACTTCCACAGGGAGAGCGCCTCATCCAGGGACTCGCAACGTTCTGAAACAGGAAAATGTGCAGAGGTCCAGTCTCGGACAAAGTGCTGGGGGGAGGGGAGGTGGGGCGGGGGGGGGGGTGTCACAGGCCTCGACAGCAACGCCCCATTCAACCCCACCCCCCCCCCCCCCCCCACTCTGTCGGACGTGAGCGTCTTCTCAGACAAAGGGGGGTGGGGGGGGGGGCGGGGTGTGGGGGAGAAACGGGGTTAAGGGCAGAGTAGGAAACCAGAGAAATACTATCCCAACTCCTCCTCTACTAGGCGTGGCGGGGGTGGGGGTGAAAATGGAGGAGCAGGGGGTTCACAGGCTCCCCGTCTGCACGGATGGGGGGGAAACGAGGGCACGGCCAGGTCTCGGGGTTGGCGGCGGGGCGCCAGGGACAGGGGCGTGGGGGGCCAGGGACAGGGCACGGCCAGGCCTCGGGGTACAGTGGTGTCGGTGTAACAGGTCCACCCTGTTTCCATCCCACCCCTCCACTCCCCCTGGGGACTCACTGTTCTCGGCGCTCAGGTTGAAATCGATG